TGCTGGGGTCGTTTGACCCCAGTACTCTTTCCTGCCATGGCAGGGGGTTGGACTAGATGATCTTCTCAGGTCCCTTCCGACCCTAGAAACTATGAAACTATGACCTGTTTAAATGTCTTATACTGAGCTGCAAGGGTTAAGCAGTGAACCCGGTTAAAACAACAGCGCTGCTGTGAACTCCCCAAGGCTGCTCTGCAAACACCTATTAGAAGGAGTGACTATGATGCACAGAGGTGTTTTTGTCAAAGCTACAGTTGGACTCCCACGTACATCACTAACTATGCAGAAGAGCAAGATGCCTGGTTAAGGAGTCTCCTACGAAATGAATGGAAAGGGTTTAAGACAACCAGGAAATCAGAGTGAGAGTTAGCAGAAATGAATGCATTGCTCGGTGTCACATGTGCAGTGGCTTGGGAGTTTCTTAATGAAAACAGATCTCATTAAGGACACCCTAGTAGCCATCAGGCTCAGTCTGCCTGGGCAGGTCATTTGGCCTCTTGATACCTTAGCTTCCCCGGCTATAAAGGTGGAGCGGATGCGCCTTCCTCCAAATTACGACTGTTCCCAAAGCACACGGCCTCAAGTGGAAGCTGGGACAGCCTAGCATTATAAACCGCTCTGGACCCCACCCTCCTCAGGCCCAGGCAGAAAGCTTGCTGGTAGGACGGGCAAAAATAGAGAAGTTGCACAGCTGTTCCATTCTGCAGCTTCAGCAGCTTGCACAGCGGCACGAAGCCACTGGGGTTTTCTGAAACAGAAAGAAGAAGGGCAAATACGTTCACGCAGGCGCTCCATCTGCAAAATGAATACAACTGCCTTATTGCTATTACTTCGAACCGGAGCACGAAGCCCACACCCCTGGCTCCTTAGCAGAGCCAAACGCTTTCTGTTACATATCTCAATCTTTTCCAGGGGCCACAACACGCACCACACCCTCCACTCCTACTGGCTTCCACAGACTAGGCCTGAGAGCTTTGATTGGTGTGGAGATCCTTCATCCCGCCCTCCCTTGCCCTCCTCCCTATTACTAAGAACAGCTGGAATGAGAAGAGGGCAGCAGAGCTGGTGATTGGCTGGGAGTCAGCCAGGGGAGGGGTGAGGCATTTACCTGTCCAGGTAAGTCAGGGAGAGGTCATAGAGAGAGCAGAACAGGCGGCGTTTTGTGCTTAGCACTATAGTCCCTTGTCTGGGGAAGCGGAGGGCCTTCCAGCCCTTTGATCCTTATCTCTCCGCTAGAGAAGGTGAGTTAATTTCTAACCGTGCTGTATTTATTTAGCTTCAAAGTAAAGAGATTTGGGGACTAGATACCACCAGGGTTTGGAGTTCTGTAAAAAGCCCCAGGCTTTCGCCCTGCCTCTCAAATACCAGCTTTGCTGAAACCTGCTCGTTCCTCTGGAGCTGCGGAAGAGGGGAGATCCTGCCAGGTACACTGTCTTTTAGTCTTTTATTTGCTAACTGATTCTTTAATAACGCGGAGCAGTAGCTGCCTTGGAGAGCAGGACACCGTTGCGTGTTTAAAAGCCTCGAATGCCTGAGGACCCTGGTTTGTCTGGAGAAGGGGAGGTTGAAACGGAGCTAAAATTCACACGGGTGAAATCTTGGCCTTTCTGAGCTTCATGGCAGACCTGTCGCTTGACTCTAACGAAGCTCGGGTTACGTCTCTGGGTTCTGGCTTCCCCATGCGAGCAGCTACAATGCTTTCACGATCAAGGGGGTGGGGGGAAGCATGCCAGCCACGCTGGCAGTGTCCTTAATAAAGCTTCAAGCCAGGGGGAACTAAGAAGGAAAATTCCTTGTTGTGAATTGGGTCTCCTTCTCTTCACCAAAAGAAAGTCATGTCTATAGGTCTTCTCTCCTTTTCGTCAGGTTTGGTGCCTACTGGTAGATGCAGTTCTAGCTCCTGGGTAGTTTTTTAGCTGGATTTGTGGTGTGCCTATGGAAGCGGATCAGGATCATGCCATTTGCACACATGCGTTATACTTGCTTTGCTCTTGTTAGAAAGAAAATTCCTGAAATTACCCAACTAGCTGGGGTAAAAAAAGAGGAACACGAGTTCCAAGTAACCTCTGGATATTGAGCAATGAAGGCAGCTGTTGTCCAGTGAGCTGTTGGGCAGGGCTTTGATGCAGGAGGCCGGTCACATGGGTGATACAGCTGGACTAAAATGTCACTGAACAAGTTTGTGTATAGTGCAAAATGAGCATTTGTTGAAATACTTTTTTTCCCCCCCCCCCCATGGGCTTCTAAATAAAAATGGTTATGGACACAGTTTGCTGGCTACTGATTTTGGTAAACATGGGGAAACTTGGTGACAGTGTCAAACCTTACCAAGCAAGACTCTTCAGAGCTTATTTGTTGCTGTTTGATCAGATTCGATGGGTTAGGAATAAGTGGAGAGAAAAACCGGAAATTGTTTGGCGGTTTTTTTGTCTTTCAGTGTTTGCAGTGGCCTTTGCACTCCAGTGCTGGCCTAACATTTGGGAGGCTTTTCTCCCCGAATTTGTTGTGGAGAATAAGAGGAACTGTGCACTAAACATGAGACCCTTCATCTTCACAACCAGGAGGATGTACTTGCTCGGTGTAGCTGGTCACATGGCATTGTTTCTGTTTTCTGCATGACAAACTTATGGAAAAAGGAAGCTGGCTCGAGCTAGCTGCTTCATGTTTCGGGTATTGTCCAGGTCCAAGCAAGACTCTCACTTCTCACAGACATCAATCAACTCTTCCAAATGTCTGTGGGAAGGTAGAAATCCCTGGGCAGGCTGCCGAGTCCTGTGGGCTTCAGTTAAATAAAAAGGAGCATGTGACTTCTTGCAGTGTTAGTCCTGCTCAAAAGTTAATTTTTCTTGGGGACATCCCAAAGTCACTCCTCTCTGAGTCCGAAGACCTGCAACGGTCAGCCTTGTCCTTGCCTGCTGAAGTATTGCTGCGGACCACAAGGTAACCTGCAATCAAGGATGCAAGGTTATTGCTTTTATTTGATAGTGCTAGTTTAAGATTAGAAGTTCAATGGAGCGGTGTATGCACTAGGGGATCAGAGGTGCTGGATGCCTCTTGAAACTGTTTCTCTTTTCTGAAAATGCTTTAATTTAAAAGGGGAGAGGCATCCCCGCCCCCCCCCCC